GGTGTCAGTGGGAGGAATAGTGCCCCATCATTGGTGTCAGTGGGAGAATAGTGCCCCATCATTGGTGTCAGTGGAAGGAATAGTGCCCCATCATTGGTATCAGTGGGAGGAATAGTGCCCAATCATTGGTGTCAGTGGGAGGAATAGTGTCCCATCATTGGTGTCAGTGAGGGGTGGAATAGTGCCCCATCATTGGTGTCAGTGGGGGGTGGAATAGTGCCCCATCGTTGGTGTCAGTGGGGGGTGGAATAGTGCCCCATCGTTGGTGTCAGTGGGGGGTGGAATAGTGCCCCATCGTTGCTGTCAGTGGGAGGAATAGTGCCCCATCATTGCTGTCAGTGGGAGGAATAGTGCCCCATCGTTGGTATCAGTGGGAGGAATAGTGCCCCATCATTGGTATCAGTGACACCAATGATGGGGTACTATTCCTCCCACTGAGACTTGCTGACCCTGTTCTCGTATGGTGCTGCTGCAGCCAGCATATGTGGTTGCAGCAGCACCTCTACACAGAACACTTACCTGCTGCTCCGGCACTCAGTTTTCGCGGGCCGCTCGCTCCGTCCCCTCGCCGGTGATTGGCCGCCTGTGTGCCTTTCCTGAGCTACAGTTCTGGCGGCCAATCACCGGTGAGGAGGCGGAGCCGAGCAGCCGCACGAACATCCAGTGGCCGAACTGAAGGAGACGCCGCGCTTCCTGGACCGGATCGTCGTGGGACTGGATCCAGGTAAGAGACATCAGCCCCTGCAAACCCCTGTACTTAATGCCGCAGCCCCCCCTAACGTGTACCGGCGTATAAGACGACCCCCGACTTTTGAGAAGATTTTCAAGGGTCAAAAAGTCGTCTTATACGCCGGCAAATACGGTATTTCTAAGCTTTGACATGAACCTAACCTCTCATGACACCTTCAGACTACGAGTGAGTCCTCCAGTCATTTTCCTCCTGTCTGCCTGATCACAATTGAACCACTGTGGTAAGAATTAAATATTTCAGAAGCGAATCTCCAGTGTTGAGGCCCATTCAAAAAAGAACTGGCTGCAGTAACTCAGAGCTTCAACATATCTTAGTTTGTTCTGTTACATTTTGTTTCTGCAGCTCAATATGCCCCAACGGTTCACCTAGATCAGAAGGCCCACCACACCTTCTCTCTTCTTCTGATGGTAAACCTTTGCTGACATTGCAGCTCCACCTTTACCGAATGCTGGAGGAATGTGGCTGCTGTGTCTGCGTTTCCCCCTGCACTGCATCATCCTGATAAAAGCTCACAGCTTCCGTAGACCTTTTTGTTTAGGCCTCCATTTTGTGCAGCATTGCCACCGGGCACCCCGGGAGAAGTCCAGGAAGTGGATGGGGAGGCTTGGCTCTCAGGATTACTCTGCTGTGGACAGATAAGGACTGCTGATCTTTCCTTGACCTCCACATTCTGCTCTGCACTGTAGATTAGATCAGGGAAGTAGGAGTACATCATGGTCAAATATTAATCCGGATAGCCTGCTTGGAGCCAGCCTGTCATCCAAACCTCCCTGATAAACCACGTCCAACGTGTACCGCGCTGGGAGTATACCACTTCTAGTACAAGTGTCTGCTATTCCTCACCCACAGCGGCTGAAGCCAGAACACTTATTGTCATCTTGTTTAGTTGTCGTGTAATTGTAACAGCTGGATCAGCCCCTCGGCTTCCATAACTGTCACTCAACCCAGTAAAGGCCTGCGTGTACAGACATTTGTTGGCATCGCCATGCAGGTCATTGGGAATTCAGAAGCAGCTTAAAATGATTGTTCTCTGCCTTACGGTAAAAATTATTTTATGTGCAGCCCCCCCCCTCAGTCCAGCTCTGTGTCCGAGAGCATAGTCTCTCTTTTTCTTGCGCTGTCTTGCTCGCTCTTGCTCTCTCTCGCGCCCGCTCGTGCTCTCTCGCGCCCGCTCGTGCTCTCTCGCCCCGCTCGTGCTCTCTCGCGCCCGCTCGTGCTCTCTCGCTCCCGCTCGTGCTCTCTCGCTCCCGCTCGTGCTCTCTCGCTCCCGCTCGTGCTCTCTCGCTCCCGCTCGTGCTCTCTCGCTCCCGCTCGTGCTCTCTCGCTCCCGCTCTCCCGCTCGTGCTCTCTCGCTCCCGCTCGTGCTCTCTCGCTCCCGCTCGTGCTCTCTCGCGCCCGCTCGTGCTCTCTCGCTCCCGCTCGTGCTCTCTCGCTCCCGCTCGTGCTCTCTCGTGCCGCTCGTGCTCGCTCGCTCCCGCTCGTGCTCTCTCGCTCTCCCGCTCGTGCTCGCTCTCGCTCTCTCGCTCCCGCTCGTGCTCTCTCGCTCTCCCGCTCGTGCTCTCTCGCTCTCCCGCTCGTGCTCTCTCGCTCTCCCGCTCGTGCTCTCCCCCGCTCGTGCTCTCCCCCGCTCGTGCTCTCCCCCGCTCGTGCTCTCCCCCGCTCGTGCTCTCCCCCGCTCGTGCTCTCCCCCGCTCGTGCTCGTGCTCTCCCCCCGCTCGTGCTCTCCCCCGCTCGTGCTCTCCGCCCCCCTCGCTCCCCCGCTCCCCCCCCTCGCCCCCGCTCCGCCCCCCCCCCCCCCTCGCTCCCGCGCCCGCCCCTCGCCCTCGCCCTTCTCTCGCTCGCTGTCTCGCCCTCTCTCTCCCGCTCGCTGCTCTCCCCCGCTCTCGCCCTCTCTCGCTCGCTGTCTCGCCCGCTCCCGCCCTCTCTCCCTCTCCCTCTCTGTCTCGCCCTCTCCCGCTCGCTGTCTCGCCCTCTCCCGCTCGCTGTCTCGCCCCCCTCGCTCGCCCTCTCTCTCTCATCCCCCTCTCCCGCTCGCTGTCTCGCCCTCTCTCGCCCTCTCTCGCCCTCTCCCGCTCGCTCTCTCGCCCTCTCTCGCCCTCTCTCGCCCTCTCCTCCCGCTCGCTGTCTCGCCCTCTCCCGCTCGCTCTCTCGCCCTCTCTCGCCCTCTCTCGCCCTTCTCGCCCTCTCCCGCTCGCTGTCTCGCCCTCTCCCGCTCGCTGTCTCGCCCGCTCTCGCCCTCTCGCCCTCGCTGTCTCGCCCGCTCTCGCCCTCGCCCTCTCGCTGTCTCGCCCGCTCTCGCCCTCTCGCTGTCTCGCCCGCTCTCGCCCTCTCGCTGTCTCGCCCGCTCTCGCCCTCTCGCTGTCTCGCCCGCTCTCGCCCTCTCGCTGTCTCGCCCGCTCTCGCCCTCTCGCTGTCTCGCCCGCTCTCGCCCTCTCGCTGTCTCGCCCGCTCTCGCCCTCTCCCCTCTCGCTGTCTCGCCCTCTCTCGCCCTCTCTCTCTCTCCCGCTCGCTGTCTCGCCCTCTCTCGCCCTCTCCCGCTCGTTTTTCTCGCTCGCTCTTGCCCTCTCTCGCGCTTAGAAATCTAATTTATTTACACAGAAGAAAAGAAGTTACTAATTGAATCAAACAAAAGATATATTACAAAAAAAGAAATAGATGTTACAGTATATTATCAGTAGAGAGAGATGACTATAGGAAAGAAAGTTATAGAAAAGAGCAATGCTGATACATTACACAGACATCCTGATGTTCTGAGGTCTGGGCTCCGGAAGGGACAGAGATGACTTCATACTTCCTCCTTTTCAGGTAGTCACACCCTTCAATAGGTTCCAGTATTTTGCCATTTCTGTTCAAAGGGGGGCTCTGTGATTTGTGAAAGACATTGGCCAACTGTAGTTCATCAGATGGAATTTCGGATAGGCCAATGTCCAGCAAAGCATACCTCCTTTGAAAACCCAGTTCCCACAGGAAAGTCTATGACAATACTCCCTAGGAGGTGTTCGAAATGAGGACTCCAGGGCTTATTCCTCTGGATGGCCCTACTGTCATAAACCTCTACAGGAAACCTTGAGGTGATGCTACAGATGGTAAATAAGTTACAGGAATTGAGAACCCTATCAGATATTTTGGGCCTACAATAATTTTTAATATTATTGTGAACTTCTATCACAGCTGTAGGAAGCACAACAATTTGGAAGCAAGGATATGTCAAGAAGCTGTAATATAACTGAACTCTAGCAGTCTCTTATAATGGCTGCCTTTTGACCATCTCCAGTTGCACGTCTTCAGTTTGCCAGTTTTCCCTAGTAATACATTCATGGAATATTATGTGTGGCCCTTTGATGTCAAGGGCTGCAATTGAGGCCGCCTATATCAAGAAAGTTGACCTCTACCATTTTGTTCTGAATTTGCTCAGGGAGTTGAGGCATTAAAAATAAGCCTCAGATCTCTGGGGAACATACCCCGTATGTGGCGGTCACTGATCCCTGCTTTGCACAACGTGTGTACATGACAGGAGGAGACAGAACGGGCAGCTCGCGTCATGGTAAATAAGCGCTGGTCTGGTTAGTGCTGGAAGTACTCAGCTTGACTACAGAAATGTTTGATCGTGAGCCAAGAAATTTTTATTTGTATGTAACTTGGCAAGGATCTGTGTCGTGCTATGAGAGCAATTGTGTGCATTCATGTTAGACATAATACTATAACCTAAGACAACAAACAAGGTCATGGCGGGTAGGAGGTGACTCTCTTGTTCTGTTATGCTACATAAGGGAACCAAAGGCTACGTACAGTATGTGGAATCATCATCATCATCATCATCATCATCATCATCATCAGTGGTTGGCTAAAGGTTTTTTACCTGAAAGGAGAAGTACAGCCAAAGCTCGTTTGACTGTACTTCTCCTGTGGATCACAGGAGTGCAGTTCGTTCTGCACTCCCGTGACCCATTTTCACCCTCCCCCCACGTTCTGTATTGTCAGCTAGCGGGGAATCTCCCCCCACCCCCCTTGTCAAAAAAAAAAAAACTGAATGAGAGACTACAAGTCCCGACAGCCTTAGCAGATGTCGGCTTGTAGTTCTCAATGAACTACCACAGCGCTATGGAGCGCCGTGGTAGTTTGATTTTTTTTTTTTTTTCTGTCAGTGTATCTGCTTGACTGTACATCCCATAGGGGCGAGAAGGTATACTGACAGATCTGCAGGAGACCTGCGTGGCACCAGTGATCTACTGATTGCTGGTGTAATGCTTTTACAGCAAGGGTGTCAAACTGGTGGCCATACAGCTGTTGCAAAACTACAAGTCCCATCATGCCTCTGCCTTTGGGAGTCATGCTTGTAACTGTCAATCAATCTTGCAATGCCTCATGGGACTTGTAGTTTGGCAACAGCTGGAGTGCCGCCAGTTTGACACTCGTGCTTTACAGGCTCCTGCACTGCAGACAAAAATAATAAATGCACATTTTTTTTTTCCCATGCAAAAAAAGTGCATTTATTATTTTTTACTAAAAAGGTGAACTTCTCCTTTTAAAGTCGGGATCTACCCCTAAAGTATATTTGGGGGTATTTTTTTTTTTTTTTTCTTTTAATGCATTCTCTGCATGAAGGTGAAAAACCTTTTTAGGTGCAGCTCCTCCCAGCCCCCACTAAATACTTAACTGAGCCTGATCTTGATCCAGCATTGTCCCAAGAGCAGCGGCACTTTTCTCGCTCGCTCTTAGATCCTGCTGCTGCCAATCAAAGCCAGTAATTTGAGGGAGCAGTGCGGCAGAACTGAGCCACGCTCTGTCAATAGACATACACAGTGCGGCTCGGGATTAAGACGAGTGCACCCCAAGTAAGCGGCTTGCTAGGGGTATACACAGAAGGGGGGAGGAGCCAGAAGCACCGACGGGAACCCAGAAACAGAGGTTCAGGACTGCTGTGTGTAAAACCATTGCACAGAGCGGGTAAGTTTGGCATGTTTGTTATTTAAAAATTTTTAGTTACTTTTAAAGTGTCTACAAATAATGTACTAATTCATGTATCATATAGCTGTTCATGCTGGAATGTTGGGGGTGTGGGCAGAACAGCATGACATCTATGTTTATGCCCCCCTAAGTCTATTGATTACTTCCAAATGAAAAGTAATGCTGCTACTACCCCAAGAAAAAGCTCATTTTATTGGGATGAGATCCAGGTGCCTGTGCCCGGACTTGCGTAGTACTTGCCGTCTATAGATATAGTAGAAGTGAGTCTTGAAGTTAAAAGAATTGCTTTATTTTTCCATCAAGAACTACAAACTAACCGCAGAAGGTGGGGCAATCCAAAAAATAACTAGACATTTGATAATTACAAATCATGTCACACTATTGGGAACACCACATGTCAATTTGGGGGATCAGCAGAGCTGGGGTTTACTACTGAGCGGGGGATCAGCAGAGCTGAGCGGGGGGGGGTTTACTACTGAGCTGGGGGCGGGGGATCAGCAGAGCTGGGGGTTTACTACTGAGCGGGGGATCAGCAGAGCTGGGGTTTACTAGAGCTGCAGAGCTGGGGTTTACTACTGAGCGGGGGATCAGCAGAGCTGGGGTTTACTACTGAGCGGGGGATCAGCAGAGCTGGGGTTTACTACTGAGCGGGGGATCAGCAGAGCTGGGGTTTTTACTACTGAGCGGGGGATCAGCAGAGCTGGGGTTTTTACTACTGAGCGGGGGATCAGGCGAGCCGAGGGTTACTACTGAACAGGGTATATGCTGAACAAGGGTACTAATCAGCTGGGGATCTGCTGAGTCGGGGTATAGCTAAGCTGGGGTTCTACTGAGCCACTTTAAAACAAATGGCACACGCAGGGCATTTACAAGGCTTCATTATAGCTTCAAAAAGCATTATGGAAGCCTCAAAAACACATCAAAAATGTATGTTGAAGTGATGGGCATTTTAATGCGTGTTAAAATCAAAGCAAGTGTAAATGAGCCCTTAGGGATGTAGCAGACACTTTTTTAAAAAGCAACTGTTAAGAACTGACAGAATTTGGAAGCTCTGTACTGACCTGGTTCTCACGATGCCAAGTTCTAGGGTTGGGTGGATTTGACCTTTTTAAAGCATAAAGTCTTCTAGAAATGTCTTTACTATTGATCTTCCTGGCTTTTCAAGCTCTTTATCCTGTATCTTTTCTAGGACAATTGCTCCTGGTAAAAGTTTTTAAATGGGTAACGTGATTGGCTCCAACATTGCAGCACCTTCACTATAGAGCTCTCCTTGTGAGTAATGGTTTGGTTAGCAGGATGGAGTGGTGTGTTTGTGGTCAGTGATGCGAGTAATAGGATCGATGTGACATTGTGCACTCAAGTGTGTAGCTGCTGTTCGAATTTTACACCCTGTAGGACCTGCTATTACGGTTATCTGTACAGGAGGGGAGCAGATTGCTAAATGGGTTTTATCCAGAGGGCCACTTACAGGCTTGACAACTTTCTGAAATGGAAAAATGGACATCTTGTACTTTCAGGACTTCTATCGATGTCGTTATTATTATTATACAGTATATCGCGCCAAAAGGTTTGCTCAGCGCTGTACATTATAGTGGGGGGGCAGAACATGAGACAATACAGTAACAAGCCAATACACGAGGGGTTCGAGGGCCCTGCTCTTTCGAGCTTACAATCTAGGAGGGAGGGGATAATGGTACAGGAGGAAGTGGCTGTGGGGATGGAGTGGTAGGAGGAGTGGAGGAGATCGGCTGTTAGTGAGGGTGGGGTAGGCTTCCCTGAAGAGATGGGTTTTCAGGGTGTGCCTAAAGGTGAGGAGGGTAGGTGACAGTCTGATGGATTGGGGTAGTGAGTTCCAGAGGATGGGGGAAGTCCTGGAGAAGTCCTGCAGTTGGGCGTGGGAGGTGGAGACCAGGGAGCTAGAAAATAGGAGATCTTGTGAGGAGCGAAGATTACAGGTAGGGTGGTATTTGGGTATCAGGTCGGTGAGGTAGTTTGGGGCAGCGTTATGAATGGCTTTGTATGTCAGAGTTAGTATTTTGAATTTAATGCGTTGGGCCAATGGGAGCCAGTGGAGGGAATGACAGAGGGGGGTGGCAGAAGCGGAGCGGTTGGTGAGGTGGATGAGTCTGGCCACTGAGTTCAGGATAGACTGAAGCGGGGATAGCCTGTGTTGGGGTAGGCCGGTGAGGAGGGAGTTGCAGTAGTCCAGACGTGAGATAATAAGGGAGTGAACGAGTAGTTTAGTGGTTTCTGGGGTTAGGAACGAACGTATTTTGGAGATGTTGCGGAGGTGGAATCTGCATGAGTTATACAAGACAGTAGATGACTAAGAGTGCTCTCCTCCTACAACCCAATTCCAATTTGCCTATTTCTTTGTTACAAATGTCTCTGCTTAGTTTAGTGGCACCTTTCCCTTGTCTTGGAGTCCCTGTTTCGCCTAATGACTTATGTTCCTTGTCCAGGAGTTCCGTTCTTATATCCTTGTGACTTATGTCCCTTGTCCAGAGATCCCTGCTTGGTGTGAAGGTTTCTTTCTCAGGAGTTCTGCTTGGCCTGCAAGCTTCTTTCCCTTGCCTAGGTGTTCCTGCTTGATCTGGAGGCTTTCTTTTCCTTGTCCTAGAGCCCCCATTTGACCCGGAGGCTACTTTTCTTGTCTAGGAGTCCCTGCTTGGTGCAGAGGCTTGCTTAGGAGTTCCTGTTTAGCCTAGTGACCCATTTCCCTTGTCCAGGGGTCCCTGCTTGGCCAGAGGTTCTTTTTCCCAGGAGTTCCTGTTTGGCTTGCATGTTCCTTTTTCTTGTCTAGGCCCCCCTGCTTGGCCTGGAGCTTCCATTTCCTTGTCAAAGAGTATCCACTTGACCCAAAGGCTCTTTTTCTATGTCCGGGAGTTACCTCTTGGCCTGGAGGATCTTTTCTGTTATCCAGAAATCCCTGCTTGGTCAGGAGGCCCTTTTCCCAGTTAATTTCTTTCTTGGCATGAAGGTTCCATCCTTTGTCCAGGTGTCCCCATCTGGCCTGGAAGTTCTTCTCTCTAGTACGAGAGTGCCAGCTTGGCCTTGAAGCTCTGTTTCCTCCTTCAGGAGCTCCCATTTGGCATGATGGCCAGGAAGACCCTGCTTGGCCCGGTGGCTCATTTCCTTGTCCAGGTGTCCCCACTTGGCTCTGAAGGTGCATTTTTTTTTTTTTCCCCACTTGACCAATTGTCAGCATTTGGTTAGGTCAGGGGTGGGCAGCTGTGGCCTTCCAACTGTTGTAGAACTACAAGTCCCATGAGGGATTGTAAAACTGACAGTTACAAGCATGACTCCCAAAGCAGAGGCATGATGGGACTTGTAGTTCACCAACAGCTGGAGGGCCACAGTTGCCCACCCCTGGGTTAGGTGATCTCAGTTGATGGAAAGGGTCAGATTTCTAGCAGTCATTGATTGTTGTCCTCTAACTGAATATCGCTCTCCCGTGATTCTTCCTCTGATGTCACATGACTTATGCAGCCACAGGCTGGGAATAGAATTTAAGAGTTGCTGGAAAGTGTTTTGTTTTTTTTTTTTTTTGGTTTGTTTTTTTTATACATGTTTATTTTTAAGGCAGAGTTTGACACTATATTTCCACTTTAGCACAGGGTTTTGCTGTTTATGCAGGCCTGGGTGATGGGTCCTCTCTTCGTCACGCAGTTGAATTGAAAGGACAATACATATTTAGTCCGACAACTAATTAGCTCAGCCATTATCCTTCAATAAACTTTAATTACAATTGTAAAACCTGATTAAAAAGGGGATGGATTTAATGATTTTTATTGGCTTGAGTCCTCCAGTTATACAGCCTGTAGCTCAGTTATTGCATTTTATGTGCTTGCATTTGACTTTGCAGCAGTATATAAAAAGTTTAACTCCGTGGAGGAAACTTTCCAAACAATGCCTGCGTGCCAAGAGGATTTCTGAGATCGGAGTCCCGGAGCAAAACAATGTAGTCTGTCTACCAAGGAAGGGACTTGGAACCCGGGAACACGTCTGTATTTTGTAACTCCAAATTCAAGTGTTACTAAACCCACAACAGTACAATCAGTCTGTATATGCAGTAAAGCATGCTTGTTATACTCACTGTGGAACCTCAGGGGTTAATACTCTGCATTGTGTAAAAAGGCCATAGACAACACATAGCCACATGCACATGCTCAGTTTAGTGTGTATTGCTAAAGAGGTTTTTTTTTGTGATAAGCGCAGGGCCAATCAGCACTGTCCAGACAGGGTCAGCAGTTTTTGCATTCTCCTAGAGCAGAAAGAAAACTCCTCCTACAAGCTTTAACCAGTGCTCTGCTGGACACTGATGGAAGTCACAAAACTGCTCTAACTGCTGATGAGAAAAGGTATTTAGCAGTTTATATTTACTAAAATAATTGCAATTCCATATTCTGCGTACTGTGGGAGAAACAGATGGCAGCACAAGGCTGCATGCAGTCGCAGGGAGCACCAATCTTCATAAGTCTGTGTGCCTTCATAAGAACAGTCCACCGCAGGATGTGGGGGAGAGCGGTTTTCCGGAGGATCGGAGAAATGAGTAAGTATAGCTTTTAGCCCCTAGACAAATTGAGCACTTAACCCAAGTAGTGTGGGCGCAGCCCCACTGCATGGGAAATAGCATTTTTAAGACCGGCGTTTGGCTTTAATACCACTTTAAGCTATTTTCCTTTAAAAAAACATGAAATTGAGTTAAGATTTCTTGAACTTGGTGAACAAACAGACAACATTTTTTTGCTTACGATGGCACGCGGCCTGTTTTTCATGTCAGCTTGACATTTGTACCTTTTTTAGCTCTGTGCTCAGTTACTTCACTTTAGTGTTTTCTTTCATAAAAGGGATGAGAGAGGGGAAGTCTTTGTAGTTGTCAGAGTTGGCGTAGGTTCAGTAAAGGCCAGGACATGTATTCCTCCCGCTCTGTCCCCCTTTGTGTGACATTATTCTTCAGGCCTTCTTCATAGGGGGATCTAATAAGAGGCGTCACATCTATCATGTTTATACCATGCGCGGTGATGGATGGCGTTACTGCGATGGCTTGTCTGATAGGAAGGTTCCTGGGACTTAATTGCAAGCTCCGTCCATGGTGAGACGAGGACGGGTAGAGTGAACCTGGGGGGGCACAGCTCTTCTCTTGTTTTGACGTGTCAATAAAAACTGTAGCATATTTATTTTAAAGCGGTAGAAAAAAAAAATGGCCCCATGCAGGGTAAAGGCGTAAGGTGCTAGTGTGCTTTGCAGGCTAGCACATTATGAAGGACTTGCCTTGAAACAAAGCCCTCCAGTGGAGCGATGTCACGGCTCCCCGAGGCTTCCATCTTCACTCGGTCTTCCTTCTGGGTTTCGCAAGCTCTGGCTAAGCCGCGATGACGTCACTCCGTCCTGGGCCGCGGCCCAGTGCTCTGAAGGAACTCCGTCCTGGGCCGCGGCCCAGTGCTCTGAAGGAACTCCGTCCTGGGCCGCGGCCCAGTGCTCTGAAGGAACTCCGTCCTGGGCCGCGGCCCAGTGCTCTGAAGGAACTCCGTCCTGGGCCGCGGCCCAGTGCTCTGAAGGAACTCCGTCCTGGGCCGCGGCCCAGTGCTCTGAAGGAACTCCGTCCTGGGCCGCGGCCCAGTGCTCTGAAGGAACTCCGTCCTGGGCCGCGGCCCAGTGCTCTGAAGGAACTCCGTCCTGGGCCGCGGCCCAGTGCTCTGAAGGAACTCCGTCCTGGGCCGCGGCCCAGTGCTCTGAAGGAACTCCGTCCTGGGCCGCGGCCCAGTGCTCTGAAGGAACTCCGTCCTGGGCCGCGGCCCAGTGCTCTGAAGGAACTCCGTCCTGGGCCGCGGCCCAGTGCTCTGAAGGAACTCCGTCCTGGGCCGCGGCCCAGTGCTCTGAAGGAACTCCGTCCTGGGCCGCGGCCCAGTGCTCTGAAGGAACTCCGTCCTGGGCCGCGGCCCAGTGCTCTGAAGGAACTCCGTCCTGGGCCGCGGCCCAGTGCTCTGAAGGAACTCCGTCCTGGGCCGCGGCCCAGTGCTCTGAAGGAACTCCGTCCTGGGCCGCGGCCCAGTGCTCTGAAGGAACTCCGTCCTGGGCCGCGGCCCAGTGCTCTGAAGGAACTCCGTCCTGGGCCGCGGCCCAGTGCTCTGAAGGAACTCCGTCCTGGGCCGCGGCCCAGTGCTCTGAAGGAACTCCGTCCTGGGCCGCGGCCCAGTGCTCTGAAGGAACTCCGTCCTGGGCCGCGGCCCAGTGCTCTGAAGGAACTCCGTCCTGGGCCGCGGCCCAGTGCTCTGAAGGAACTCCGTCCTGGGCCGCGGCCCAGTGCTCTGAAGGAACTCCGTCCTGGGCCGCGGCCCAGTGCTCTGAAGGAACTCCGTCCTGGGCCGCGGCCCCGTGCTCTGAAGGAACTCCGTCCTGGGCCGCGGCCCCGTGCTCTGAAGGAACTCCGTCCTGGGCCGCGGCCCCGTGCTCTGAAGGAACTCCGTCCTGGGCCGCGGCCCCGTGCTCTGAAGGAACTCCGTCCTGGGCCGCGGCCCGTGCTCTGAAGGAACTCCGTCCTGGGCCGCGGCCCCGTGCTCTGAAGGAACTCCGTCCTGGGCCGCGGCCCCGTGCTCTGAAGGAACTCCGTCCTGGGCCGCGGCCCCGTGCTCTGAAGGAACTCCGTCCTGGGCCGCGGCCCCGTGCTCTGAAGGAACTCCGTCCTGGGCCGCGGCCCCGTGCTCTGAAGGAACTCCGTCCTGGGCCGCGGCCCCGTGCTCTGAAGGAACTCCGTCCTGGGCCGCGGCCCCGTGCTCTGAAGGAACTCCGTCCTGGGCCGCGGCCCCGTGCTCTGAAGGAACTCCGTCCTGGGCCGCGGCCCCGTGCTCTGAAGGAACTCCGTCCTGGGCCGCGGCCCAGTGCTCTGAAGGAACTCCGTCCTGGGCCGCGGCCCAGTGCTCTGAAGGAACTCCGTCCTGGGCCGCGGCCCAGTGCTCTGAAGGAACTCCGTCCTGGGCGCGGCCCAGTGCTCTGAAGGAACTCCGTCCTGGGCCGCGGCCCAGTGCTCTGAAGGAACTCCGTCCTGGGCCGCGGCCCAGTGCTCTGAAGGAACTCCGCCCTGGGCCGCGGCCCAGTGCTCTGAAGGAACTCCGCCCTGGGCCGCGGCCCAGTGCTCTGAAGGAACTCCGCCCTGGGCCGCGGCCCAGTGCTCTGAAGGAACTCCGCCCTGGGCCGCGGCCCAGTGCTCTGAAGGAACTCCGCCCTGGGCCGCGGCCCAGTGCTCTGAAGGAACTCCGCCCTGGGCCGCGGCCCAGTGCTCTGAAGGAACTCCGCCCTGGGCCGCGGCCCAGTGCTCTGAAGGAACTCCGCCCTGGGCCGCGGCCCAGTGCTCTGAAGGAACTCCGCCCTGGGCCGCGGCCCAGTGCTCTGAAGGAACTCCGCCCTGGGCCGCGGCCCAGTGCTCTGAAGGAACTCCGCCCTGGGCCGCGGCCCAGTGCTCTGAAGGAACTCCGCCCTGGGCCGCGGCCCAGTGCTCTGAAGGAACTCCGCCCTGGGCCGCGGCCCAGTGCTCTGAAGGAACTCCCCACACACAAACCCCATTGTAAAACAGCACACCGTTAACACTTCGATTAACCCCATCCTGCCCAGTGCCATTAGTACAGTGTCAGTGCTTTTTATTAGCACTGATCACTGTATTGAAGTCACTGGGGATGTCTGTGATACCAAATCAGTTCCCCTCAGTGTCAGAATGCCCGCCGCAGTCCCACTATAAGTTGCTGATTGCCACCAATAATCGTATAAAATAAAAATTCCAGTATATATACCGCCACTTGGAAACGCTATAACTTTCACGTAAATCAATTATTGGTAGTTGACACATATTGGGATTTTCTTTTTGCAAAGACGTAGCAGAATACATTTTGGCCTAAATTTATGACAAAACAATTATTATTTTTTTTTTTTTTTTAAATTTTACTGGACATGTTTAACAGCAAAAAGTAAAAAAAATATATATATATAGAGAGATAGATAGATATAGAGATATATCCATCTATATATCTTTCGAGATATCTCTATCGTATATATATTTTATTTCTATTTTTTCTCAAAAATTGTTGGTCCTTCTTTTTTTTTTTTTTTTTTTTTTTTTTTTTTTTTTTCCAATAGCACAAAAAATAAAAAGCGCACAGGCGATCAAATACCACCAAAAGAAAGCTCTATTTGTGGGGGGAAAAAAGGGAGGTAAATTTCATTTGGGTGCAGTGTTGCATGACCGCACAGTTGTTAAAGTAACGCAGCGCCGTATTGCAGAAAATGGCCTGGTCAGGAAAGGGGGGTAAATCCTCTGGAGGGCAAGTGGTTAACGGATGTAAACAGATGATTGCCATTTACATTTTCTAGTCCATAGAAACACAT